GGGGGGGGGGGGGTGGGGGGGTGGGGGGGGGCTATCTTTGTCTGATGGTTCATATATGCCCAGCTTGTAGTTACAATATTTTCATTGCTTTTTGAAAATTTGCATGTGAAATGTGCAGGACATATTAAATAGTTTGTTTTAGGAGGAAAAGAAAACTACCTTATGAATTTAAGAAATGATTCCCAGTGGAGTGAGGTTGGTAAGTGTACTAAACTGGACATGCTTATTTGCCATTGGTTTCAGAACAACCAGAAAATAAGGGCTGTAATAAGAGGTGTGCTGGATGTTATTTTATTTTATTTTATTATTTTTTGTTTTTTAATTGTGTGGTCTTTATTGAGTTGATACATACAACAAGTTGTGAAATGTTGAGTTCACAGCCTCTGCCAGTAGTTTCAAACCAAGCAGCTAGGTTTACCCTCTATTGATCCAAATGAAAATACTGGTCTTGAAAGATCTATATCTTTAATACTTGGAAGCCATGCCAGTTTATATATAATGGATTTTTTTTTGGTTTCAGCTGTGACTCTGGGTTGCATTAGTTTGCAGATGAGATTGATGGAAAAATAAGTATATTAAATAGTAAAGTTACTGTCCAAATATCACTGAAGGCCTTATCATAAAGCTATCAGGTGAACTGAACAAATGTTTTGCTATTAAACAGAGCTTAACAGAGGTGGGTGTCAATATATGAATGAATGAATGGAAAAAGTTCAATGTTTTGTTCAATTGCTAGCAAGTCGGTAACAGTTTTTTTAAATATGACTTCATCTTGTAAATATTTATTATTATTATTTTTATTTTTATTATTATTTTCTTTTTTTTTTAATTCAGACTTTTTATGTAGCAAAGTTTTCTTTGGGGTGGGAGTGGGTCAATATATAGGATTCAGTGAATGGATAAAATTGCATAAGATAAGATTCGGTGGCTGACTAATATTATGAACATTGTTTTCCACCCACCCATCCCACCCTTAAGCCTGCTAGTTAGCTATCTATAAATAGGGCTTCAGGTTTGTTGATGGGCGTTGTCTCTCCATAAAAAACAGCTAAAATAGAGACTGCACATCATAATCCTTTGTCCTTTGCTTTTCTATAACATTCATAATTTCATTGTCACAAATGGTGAATTATCAAGAGATTGATGAGGAGTATCTGAAGGTCAGCTATGTTTGCTTAGTAAATTTTGTATTTTGGCATCAAGTATTATTCTATGCAGTAATTTACTACAGTCTAAGTGCTGAATTTAGCTGAGTATCTTTGACATGCGACAAGACTTCAAATTCAATATATTCATACAGGGTACATGCAGATAATATCATGTGTTCATAAAAAGCAGTCAGATTGATTATTTGACCTCAAGTTTTACTTTATGAATATCAACAATTTGTTGATATTTCTTTGCAATTACGAATGACGAAAATTATTAAAGCCCCCTCACTTGGCAGCGTCCTTTCTGCATCCTACAGTACGGCCCAGTTTGAGAATAAAAAAATATTAAAACTATATGTGCCGATAACTGGCCAATCTTTGAGCATTCATTCTGCAACAATAGCAATGTGTGTGCCTCCTTTCTACGACCATAGCGATGCCAGTTTTATGGTTGCAGAAAGAATGCCGTCCAGTGTAAAGGGGGTTAAAGAAAGGATGGCTATAGAATAAGTACTTGTTTATCAATCATTATTTATGCTAATTTCCATTATTTCTCAGTCAAATGATTATCATTATAATGCACTCAAATTTTTTTTTGATGTAGTGCCCATAGTGTGATACACTTTAACTTAACAACAGTAGACAACAATACGGGAAAAAAATACTAACTAGTAGATCATTTAGACTATACTTTTTCATAAGGAAGAAAAGGAAGCTTAAATTTTTTTGCACTGTCCACACACATATTGACATAAAATCTGAGGGATGAATAAAATTTAACACAAATAATTTTAAGCAAGAAGAGGGATTGGGGACAAGGGGCGGGGGTGCAGTAGAAGAGCACTTTCACAGTATGTACAACACAGATTGCACGTTGAGTCCAATTGAATATTCTGTATGGTTAAAAAATTAATTTTACTCATTAGATGGGCGTGAACCTAACCTAGTAGATATGTGGCATGCGTCCTTTTATCTGGTGTGTGTATGTCTGTAAGACATGGGTGTCTGTTTGCTCAGTAGGTGGAAACTTATCAGTGCTAAGCTGGTTGCTTAAGGATAATGTTGACAGTACTGGTTCAGAGGAGATACCGCCTGTGTGGATGAGTGCTACACTGCACCCACTTCTCACAGGGATCTTGATATTAAGATGGGTGTTGCCCGTGGTTTAAAAAAAAAAAAAATGAAGGTTTTCTCCTGGAAGAGCCAATTATTCATTTATACTTATCAGAAAACTGGTAATTTTTTGTCTTAAATGTCAGACCTGTGTTACATACATATGATGCACAAAATGGACCTTAGCTTTACCCTAAGCAATTCATTATATTGTAACCATTTCCTGCAAAAGAAAAAAACTGATGATAAAAAAATGGTAATATTGCCTGCTCAGGAAGCTTTTAACATGTACAATCTGTGAATCCATGGTAAAACCCCTCACATACATAATACAGATAGTGGTTGTAATGCATACACTTCCACCATTGAATTTTTTCACCATTCTATTTCTGGTGAACTGTGGGTACGCAAATTTACTATTATATTTTCACACAAATGTATTATCTCACTTAATTGGTTTAGCCATTATAGTACAGGATGCTCCATTGAAATAATGCATAAATATAGAATTTGTATCTAGATGTGATTATCATAATTTGTGACAAAACAATCGTTCAGGAACTTGGTTACTAGATCTGATTTCATTCAAGTGGGTTAGGGTTGCCCAGCAACCTTACTAGTTGCTGGCCCACTGTATGTACTTGTCCTTTAGCCTGTATATGTATAACAGGGGTTTTGGTTCCAAAGTGACACTGTTTACATAGCGTGTAGACACATATTTTGAGCTGACACCTAAAGCTGTAAGTATCCAGCTTTCCTGCATGGTCATCATGTTTTCCTCTAACTCAGGTTGACAGTGATGTTTGTTAAAGATAACCTAGAACTTGGGGTCATAGGCCTATGCCTATTTCCACACTTGGCTCTCTGATGACCATCTTCTTAACTGAAGAGAGATATTTATCCTAATAGTTTAATATGATATTCTCATGATATGAATTTATTCTGTGGTTTTGTGAAGGTTATGGAATTGTGATTTTGTTTTATTGTGCTGCGTGCATGCACATATACATTGTAAGATGACCCTATTTTGTGTACTGAGAAATGCCATTATCGTCTTGGTGATGGATTTTGCTCAAGTGTGTATACAGTGCATGGGTATATGCATGTATGTTCATATGTGTGTGTGGAGGGGAAGTGACTGTTATAATGATTATGTGCCAAATTGACCTAGGCTTAATCATGAAAAAAATTTTCATGTAGAATTGCATTTACTTTTTGCAGTATTACATATACGTACATGTATGTACCCATATATATTGAGCAACCATAATAGGATTTTGGATACCACAGACAGCTATATATATTCTACTGCATTAAAATAAGAATCTTAAAAATCGAAATTATGTTTAACATGGTTTATATATAGACTATAAGTATCATTAACTCTGCCAGTCATTTTATGATAAGGACAGGATATATGTACATACATAGCAAGGAGAGAATACGTAGGCAGCAGATTGAAATGAAGCTGATTGATTATCATATTGGATATTTATATATATATGTGATTATTAGATACTGTGATCAGTAAGCTTCCTTTTGTTTTTCAGTTTTGAAACAACAAGATGGGTAGCTCCGGAGAAGTTGACCCAGCCTTCAAGACCATTCCAAAAGGCCAGCCATGCTTTTTAATATGGCGCATTGAGGTAATTGTTACAGTATTTAGTTCTTGATGTGATTTGTTTAAATAATGTTGTCATTAAAAAAAGAAGAAAAAACTTAACTAATGATCATTTTGGCAAATGGAATGCCATTTTGAATGATGTTTATTTGAAGGTTGTTTTTATTAATATTATAGGAACATAAACCAGTTGTATATTTTACCACAAGCTTAGGGCTGTCATGAGTATACATGAAATGGAATATAAATTAATTTTATGTCAGTATTTCAATTCTTGTTTAGTAGATGTAATCTGTTTAGTGGAGGATGTTCATTATATTCAGTCTTGATGGGACATCATAAATTAAGTTATTCTGATAAAAAAACAAGTTTTTCAATCACTTTTAAACTAATTTTATTACCTATTATTACACCATGCTTTGAACTTGGCAGAAATTAAACAGATAACATCATGGGTCATGTGAATATGTCTCATTCACAATTGATAATTTGATGCATTTTTTGTGATTCTTCTTTTATTAGAAATGCAATGGTCAATTGGTTTGAGTGATTCCATGATAATAGCAGTTCTTAATTGGCCAGCATTTAGTGAATTAGTTAGTGTGTCCATTTATTTTAGATGATCACATGTTCACACTAGCTTACACAGCTGTATGAAAAATATGTGCCTGTAGTTCATACATACTTGTACTAATTCTAGTACAGAGAATATATGTTTTCATCCTCTCATATTACATATAATGCACTTTGCACTTCTTGTTTTTTTTCGATATGACATCAACCCCCCCCCCCCCTCCACAAACACATTCACAGGAAAGAATAAAGGTTAGAAGCAAAAACCTTGATTAATGAGTATGCTTAGTGTAAATCTTGGCTACTTCATGCCACTTTTTCTCTGTACTAACTTCAGATGTTCAGTAACATAATACAGAGAACTGCCATATTGATGGGTAATTGGGCATAAAAAATCTTGGTTGAATTGTCCCAGACTGGTTTGTTACTTATTTTTTGTCAGCAAAGGTCAGATGTTAGGTCCTTCTTTTCCCTGCCTGACCTACATTTTGCAGTTTTATTATTGCATGAATTGATTATTGTGTAATATGCCTTTGGTTTCCTGTGCTGTAATCAATATTTTCTATAGTACCAAGCTGTCAGTATAGTTATGCATGTATGTGCAACTATTGTGCATATTAAAGATGACATATAAACTGATTAGGCAAAATGTGTTTGAAGTAAAGATGTCATTGAGTTCTGTCTCGGGTGAATTTTCCAATAATCTCCCTTTCACTTAATCTAATAGAAAAAGAAATGTTTATTCCTCGAATCCTTGGGGAACATGTTATGCTTTGAGTTAGGTATTTTAAAAATGTAGGCATTTTATGGAAAATAAAATTGATATGTTATGGTATTGGTTTTTGTTTAATTGATTGTTTTCATTTTAAAAATTTCTATTTGTCTTTTTTTTTTTCAGAAATTGAAGGTGGTGCCAGTCCCAAAAGAGTCATATGGAAAATTCTACACAGGGGACTCCTACATTATTCTCTCTGTAAGTGTTAGTGACATCTATAAAATTATGTGAACAGTATAGTATATGTACATAGTTTAGCACCCATCTGCAAAAATTCAGCAAGGCAATATTGAGCATCATTCTGTTATGTAATTAGCTCTTTCTTCATGTATATGAACTGCAAGTTAAAAAATTGTCATTTATGATCGTGAACTGTCAATATTTTTGCTAACAACTGCCCACTTTTTTGTAATTTTTATTTCTATCATATATTCCAGAAAAGAAATTAAGTTTATATTTTATCTCAGTATTATAATAAATAAATTGGATAATTACTAGCAAAAGCACATTTCTTAATCTATTTTGCAAACTTTATTTTTTTTGTGAGTTTATTTTTTGAAAAAGAGGTTTGAATCAAGTTTAAATATTGCGTGCCACCAAGGAAGCTTAGACATCGTTGCATCAATCTTAAGATTCCAATATTTGAATCAGGTTTTCATTTGTAAGAGATAATTTCTGTTGGTTGAGCCAGGTTTGTGAAAGAAACAGAGAGACCAAGACTCAAAGGATTGGTTACCAGGTAGCTCTGATCAGATTTGTGAAATTTATGATTTGTTTTGAACTAACATGTACATTGTAGATATAATACAGGTTATTGTCATAAATACTAATTAAATAAATGAATATTCAGTTGTACCTTTTTCCATGGCACTGTGTTTTTTGTGAACTTTTTACACAGTCTAACTGCAGTTGGTGAATTGTATTAGTGTCATTTATCATTATGAAATGCATTTTCTTAGTCCCAGCCTACAAGAAGAAGGGAGAAAAACACTTTTATTTCTCCTTGATCTAAGTTGAAGTAAGAATTAGGATATGTCTGCGTTAGTAATGTAACAGACACAAGTGTGATGTTTGAAATTTGGCCGGTGATGGCCGCTTTTATTGGAAGTCGCATTAATAAAAAGAAATAAAGCGTATTACTGATAAACCTTGATAATGTTGATAGATGATATAAACTTAGTGTGCGCCAGAAGTATCAACATTTAAATTATAATTCCAGACAAA